TACGAACGATTCTCCGTATTCTCTTTTATCTCTTGGAATGGGTATCTCCTTTACAAGGATCTCAGGTTCCACGGTTCTCTCTATCTCATTACGATGGAAATCATTTGACAGAAAAGTCTATGGACATTGGAAGCATCGTAAACACTATATAGACTTAACTACCATTTTCATTTAGCGCAATATATGTTTCGAGACACGAACGTTCAGAGTTAATTAGTCATCGATGCGAACGTTTTTGTATTTGGAGTACACGTGAACGAGCTCTTTAAGGTACGTTCTAACGCCTCATCTTCGAGGACGTTGTCGCACCGTGTCTCAGTTTTCTCGTCGCCCACACATGCACGAGATGCACGAGTGCAGTGTTTCGACTGCACTCGACGCTACCGCGCAGATCTAATCTTCGCCAAGGTCGCCGATGCAGGATTCCGAACATTACATTAGCAGCCTCGCCTCAGTAAATAGATGCCGCGTCGCGTCGCGTCGCGTCGCCGCGCTCAGAAATTTGAATATTTACTGAATATTTAGCATCTTTGGATAAATAAACATCTGCGACGGTACAGCGGCTGAGCTGGCTCAATATGCACTCACAAAGTGTGAGAATATTTTTTCTTTCTTTTTTCCGTAAAAACATGCATATTTACGCGCCATCGTTAGAATATTATTAAAAGAAAGCATTAATCATTAAGCTAAATATTATTAAAAGGAACATTAATTGATCATTTTAATCATAGTATCAGCAAAATTAGTGAGTGATGAATTAATGCTAGTTTAAGCAGTTCTTTTTGATATCCTTGCACTTACTGAGGCACGTATCGTCTGTTGAGTCATCAACCTTAGAATTTAGTTTATTCTTCGATTGCCTGTGCCTCTTATTTGTGAACGCGAATCTGACGTTTCCGCACAACGGTGACTCATTGTTCCTAGGTAGACAAAAGAGACGAAATAACAACGACCGTGACCCGCGCAGGAAGCAAATAGATGTCGGTATAGCAAATAGTTGTGCACTTTGTCTCTCGAGTACAAAAGCTTTCACAGAAAACGAAGGCGAATATTAGAGGAAAATTGTACAGTTATCCTCATATAAAAAAGTACTTGAGTTTCGCTGTAGAACGTATAGCGAATGTTTTATTAGATATTTAAAAAAAAAGGATAAAAGAATCAAATATAGATAAATGAAACTTTCGTCATATTTAACAAAATCTCTTCAAAAAACAAAAGTAATTTTTGGGTTAATATTTGTGTTGGCCGAGACGAAAAAGTACCGGAGAATTAATTATTTTCTCAGAATAATGAAACTTTATATGAGCGGCCGCTTCAAGATTCATTCTTTCCCAGGAAATATTTCGTAATCGCTTTTTTGCAGGATTCGTGATACATATCCGAGAACAGGTGTAAATTGTGTCAAGCGCCAAAGAAATAAAAAAAACACATCGCACAAACCGTGTCGTGATTTCGCGATAACTGCTGTTTATTACAGAAGCATCTGCGCTCGTTCAAAATTCCAAAGAGGGGGTCACCGGTGACCTCCGGGCGACTATAAAATGTTTGAAAAAAAAATCATCCTGTTAATCAGCAATAATCATAATGACACGATCGAGGGAAACGAGGGGGGATCTTTTGTAGCTATTTATTCCCCGTTACATCGTTATTCGAGATAAACGTTGCGGCGGTTGTGGAGAATTCATCGTAATCGCGAACGCAAATCGCCGAGCGCTGCCCAAAGCAGCAAAAACGTGGGAAAAAATATAGCTGGAGCGCGAGAGTGACGCGATGCTGCGATAGTTGGGATATTTATTGTATTCTTCCTTTGCACCTGTCGCAAGCTTGAAATTTGTTTCTTGCAGCGAAATTGTCATGCACAATTTGTCGAGGGAAACAATACACAATGTAAAGATCACATTTCTTTGATTGTACTTTGCAGATATTTTCTTTGGTAAAATTGTTTATAAATCTAATTTACAACATAATTCCTTTGCTTCTTAAATAGTGAATAAAAAGAATATAAAAGTTCATCATTTTAATTTTTTGTTACATAACAATGTTGTTACGTCAGAATCAATTATATAATTATACAATACGAGTATCTTGTGGTATACAAAATAATTTCAATCCTCTGCCGACAACTGAAGTATTTAAAAGCACTATTGATATTTCGATTATAAATTTTTATAGATTTAGATAAATTTAAATCTATAAAAATTAATAAAATACGATCCTATTTTTATAATGAAAAAACTCGTTGTTAAAACTTTGACAAATATATCGGAATTTTTTCAGGTTTTCATGTAATTCAGATAAATAAAAAAATTTGCTCTGTTTTTTAAAGACTTCTATTGCTAACGAAAGAATTACAAGAATTCATGTTGCTGAGGCGGAGGATTAAATAGCAAAAACAATTCAAATTTTCTTCGATACGTATCATGGGTATATATACTTATGCCCTGTATGCACTGTATTCTTAATGCGCAATCTTAGGATCATTTTCTAAGAATCAAGTAACGATACTTCTGCGGCTTCTCGGTTTACGATTGTTACAGTATACATGCTATTACGAACAATTCTCGAGGTTACATTCTTCGATGCTTCACTAACACGAGTTATACATCGGAATATTACCGATCATCTCACGTAATTACGTTGCATGGGATTCATTCGTTGTATTGAATACAGCAGACACACACACACACACACGCGTCTTTTATGTATCTAAAATCGTCTTGGTGTATGACTCACTAGGCGACAAAGCAGTTTTACGTTACACGTACGCCAGCGTAAAATGAACATCGCATAGTTGCATTATCTCTCGCGTACGTCAATAAGACTGCACGTAGCTCGTTATGGCTGTCTTGTATACACACACGGCGCACGAGTTCCGTAATTACACAGAATTTTCCGACTAACGTCTGTCGACTATCTTAATCGCATCGGGAGGAAGTAGGCTGAGGATGAAGGATGAAGGACTGCGGACGAAAAATATGTTTGAACAGAAAAAATTTTTGAAACGGCAAGCAGCGGCAGCAGCAGCAGCAGCAGCAGCAGCAGCAGCAGCAGCAGCAGCAGGGGAAGAATCATGACTACACACGACTAGTCACAATTATTCTTCGCAACGCAACGTGTAATAATTCAGTTTCTCATAAGCACTGTCTCCGACTGAAAAGAAACGCGCGAAAAGAAGGGCGCTACGGGTATCAGGTGATACGCGCTAATTACGTGTTGTTCGCTTAATAATTACGACACACACCGGGGCTCTCGCGTACGATTAATCAAGCCCCTCGTTTCGCCGTATATAGCCACGGGAATAATTGAAGTTTTGACGAGTTCCCACTCTAATGATATCGTTCGAGTAATAAGAAACCACTGCGCGCAGATTCACGCCCTGCTCCACCTCCACCTTCGATGTCCTTGAAGATGAAAGGGTGAATTGGCGCGTGGATCGATGATCGTTAATTACCTCGAGGAACCTTGACGAAGATGGCAGTTGGTAAATCGTTACACGAGTCGACAAAATGTTTGTTCTGTATTGCGAGATTCTTGAAGATTTCAGAACCAAGAGTTTTATAGCCGAGAGTCACGCGATCTCTCAAGTCACTTTTAAAATATTACAACTATTAAAAGCAAATTAAAAAATATTTATAGGATGGTTTTTTTTTATTTTTGAATGCATAATCTGTTTGGCATTAAAATTTGGAAAAGTACAAATCTTTACGCGTCACATCACTTTAGTTGACAGGATGACAATAATTTTCTGCAAGTGTCATTTTATGACGCTATTTACTTTATAGCGTTAACTTGAAAATCGGGTCGTTATTCGAACCTGTATATTAAGTCTACATCTGATCTTTCTAAAGCCTTAAAATGGTTTTTTTGCCTTTACGTCTATTATTTGAATTAACATAAGTGACTTGATAAGTCAGAAAATCGTGTTATTAACAATTCTACGTTTCGCACGATTAATTCTCATTTACCTTCTTCGATATGTACGAGATTATTAACCGCAAAGCGTATAACTAAACCAGCAACCGTACTATTAATTAATCGACGCTTAGAAACCGGAATTCATTCCAGAATGTAGAGTCGATATTAACTTTTATTTGTTGATCGTAATCGTTAGTACAGATCGTATTACTGATGCGTGTACTAACGTATTTTATGTTACGTTTACTTTTTTTTCGAAAAGTCATATGCTGTCATATGTTACAACAGGTGGCACATACAGTATTGCAATATAAAACTAGGAACTTATGTAAATTCCCCGTTACTTTTACAATTTACTCCAATTTTGTACATGCGAACGTTACAGAATTGACAGTTGAAACGAGACGAAGTTTATTATCTTCCTCAATATATTTTATGACAGTTTAACATACTATAAAAAAAATATATTACAATCATTTTATACGATCTTATCTTAAAAGTTAACCAGTCAGTATTCACAATTCGTTCTTATCTTAAGACTGGTCTTAAATATAAGTCTCGACTATGGACATCAGTCTTCGTTTCTCATTTGTCTATCCTTTTTCGGTACTTGACGTTTTCCATTTGAAGGAAAATCGCGCGACGTGATGCATCACACGTCTGGAATTGCGCATGCGTGCACCGACACGGAGTTCGGAGTGCTCGGGATCCCTTTCGCGAGGACGAGCAGCGGAACGGTTTGCGTTAAGGCCTGAGGCCTGAGGGAGAGAATCGGAGAATCAGAGAATCAGAGAATCAGTCTCGATCGCCATGGTAACCGTGCTGAGTCGCGCCCGCCTCGTCGTACGTACTCACGACTCACGTACTGTCCGTCATCAAACTCCGATCGTGCGGCTTCGTGAGATTTCGCGTGCGTTCGGCCGGTTTCGCGCACGCTCGGTCATCTCCGCCGCGCGCGAGCGAGGCCAACCAGTCGGAGTCGACTAGTCGAACAGTTCTTCGCGACTAGCGCGACCAGTTTGATTTCGCACGTAGCTGTGACGCGGTCGGCTCTCTCAGGTGTTCCGGCACGGTGCGGCGTGTGTTTTGCCTACGTCAACGCACGCACGCACGCACGTACGTACGTACGCAGTTCTTACCCGGCGACATCTTGTGCCTCGATTCTTGCGTGTAGTGCGACTCGACACACGTCTAGTCGTAGTTGCTCCGAAAGCGCGACGGTCCTTTACCGAAACGGAGCGCGTTTCGGTAAACCACACGATCGCGGAGTGTATTTCGCATGGCCTGTGAAGGCGCCTGAAGGCAAATACCTGTGTAAGTCCGCCGACTTTCGAGCCAGCCGAGTTGAGTCTTGTTTTTCGTTTCGTTTTAAGACGGTGTCTTCAGCACGTCCTTTCGCGCGTTTTGCATTTCCAACGCACGCCGAATCACGATTCACGGACTGGAGATTATTCACGCGAGACGCCACGATGATTTGTTAGTGTAATCAGGATCCTTCCTCCGCTCCGTCTCGCGTGTTTCGTGAAACATGGTAACGTGGTATCGTAGTATCGCCGGGACTACGAGGGAACTCCCGTTCATTTTCGCCGTCATAATTGGAGTGTGACGCATCCGAAGTCTAACCTCTTACGCGTCGCGTCTAATTCGTCGCGCGCTCGCGCCACGTTGTTGACAGTGTCCTCGGAGTACCACCTGTGGATCTCTTTACGTTTACCTTATATTAGTATATAATACAAGTGACAGTGACACCCATTTGCGACACCGAAGCTGTGAGAAGTTGTCGGCAATGCCGGTGACGATTGAAGGCGCGCGAGGGTCTCTGGGAGAAGTCTCGCCGTAAACGCACACGTTCGCTGGCGATTAATCGCGAATCGATTGATGATGACCATGTTCGGCACTCTCGTGCAGAGGCTCACCTCGCCGGTGACCTCGCCGACGAGCCCGCGACGGCGCTACAAGTCGCCGCCGTTGCGCTGGGAAGTGCAGAGCGACCCGGAGGACGACCCGGCTGCGCCCGTGAGGAAATCCAGGGCCAAGCATCTCCTCGACAAGCGCAAGAGCAAGAGCAGGTCGCGCGGACTGCACTCCTCGCAATCGGACCACCTGCAGATATGTAACTCCGGCAACGGTAGCTGGCACGATATCGCCTTTCCACCATTGCGAGGTACCAAGAGTCTCGGCAGGCTCGACGGCATGAAAGAGGTGAGTCCATCCTCGAGGACGTTATCTTTGCAAAGATGCGCGAGTGTTTACATTTACCTCGTATCAACGAGGGTTCGATCCGGAGGATGCGAAACACTCCGATGCGATAGCGAATTAAGTTCATCCAAGTTGCGAAATTTCGGAGTAGAGGATAGCTTTCGTTTTTATGCAACATCTGCAAATAATGATTAATAATAATTGTAGGTGATTTTGGAAAGATGTTTTTTGAATTTGTTAGATAATATGATTCGTCCCGGAAGTATATTATGAATTCTCCGTACTGTCGGACTCCGATCGCGTTTTGCGATCTGCACATCCTTACTCATTTTTTGCGCCACGTTTTTATCATCGCGCAAACATACCGCTGAAACGTTAAACGGCAAAAGTTGTAGCGGACGATAATAATTGGCGTACGGTTTCAATTCTTTTTTTACTTCTTTACGTGAAACCAGTCGACGTACCTTATAACGCTCCTGATATCAGGATATGCGTTAGGCAAAATGTGATTCTAAATAATCTTGTTGATTTGTTTATTTAAAAAACAGCGAGCAGAACGAATAAAGATTTAATTTAACATTATAAAGTATTTTATAATTTTTCGGACAGAAATACTTTTATTTTAAAAAATATTGTTTGACTATTATTATTGTTATTTTCATTATGCTTTACATTTACACACTTAACTTTAACATTTATTATTATTATTATTATTATTATTATTATTATTATTCATTAATTTTATCGACACGTAAGTACCCGAATACTCTGATCAAATTTTAAACAAACATATTTTTGCGAATTTTATTATGACGTCTGAAAATCTCCACACTTCAAACAACAAAGAACAATATCCACAGATTTTATCTCGTACATTTTTAGCGACGACCTTGTGAAACAAGGCAGTGAAAGGGTGAAAAATTATACATTGACAGAAGGGTAAATTAATCGCGCATTTGCGTATTAAGCGGAATACCGTAATCGACCCGTAAGTTACTTCCGTGTAATCATAATCCCGCTTGATATCTAGTAACGCAAGTTTCTACATCTTCAAAACGGATCAGTTTCACTATGAATGTACTTGACGCAACGATCCGTTACATATTAACAATCTTCGGCTGCGCAAGGTATCGAAAGTGCTCGGAATCGGATCATGACGCATGTCTGCGAAATGTCGGAGGTATCTTACGCGTCAATTATTTTACGAATTTATGGATTGGATAATCTGCTGTTCCAGTAGAGTAGGTACCAGGCATTCGTAACTGGCAACCACATTCTACATCGTGAGCGTATCTGTGACTGTGTGTATGTAGGATGTGTCTACGTAGGACAGGTTGAGGGTAAAAACGATAATCTCGCGAATAGACAAAAAACGCGCGCGCTTCTCTACGTATATTCACCTCCTTGTTAACAATATTAAAATACGCGAAATTACGTTGATGTTACAAACAAAGAAATCGCTACGATGTGAATCAAGCGCTGGAGTTTATCTATAATGATAATGATGTTACGTGAAATCAGCAAACCTGGAATTACTTTCAGTGATGTGGCAATGTTTTTTCTACGAATAAAGACAATAGAATTTATATAGACTCCATCAAATTAATAAAGAAAAATTTACGTAGAAAGAACGATTTTGTTGAAACATCTAAAAATTTAAGTAGACACAGGTTTGAGAATAATTTTGTTACATCATTAAAAATAATTATGTAGGAAATTCAAGCATGACGAGCAATGTTGCAAAAACATTCTAGAATCCAGCTTGAATGTTCTATATATTGTATTATCGTAATAGTTGAATTAAAATTATTTTCAGATCTGTATCTAGCTAAATTTTTAGATACTTTAGCAATTAGTATGATTTAATGAATAATTAATACAATTTTGTAAATAATATTTTTTCCGAAATTTTTCATTGAGCTTATATTAAGTTCTAGAAATAAATATACGGTTATTTTTTGAGAAAAAACAATCTCGTTTTCCCAGGGTTTATTGCCAGACTTCTTTTTACAATTGGGCGCCTCACTGCGATTTCATTCGGATGAACTTTTGTTTCTCTTTCTTTAATTGAACGAATTCAGACGTTACAATGTGCGTATCTCGCACAATCTGATTATATAATTACTAACGTAACACATCGGTTTTTATATTTATACATATGTAGTTCGCAAGTTCACGTAACTTGCACAGGTCGGTTATGTATTGTGGTATTCTTTTCTCTCCGTTGTCTCACGCGCGTTACACGTTAATCTCCGTTTGCTTTTGGAAGTAGCATAAATTACTTTTCACCTGTTACTTTGAAAGTAATACAATTTTCGAAAACTACCGAAATAGAGTACGTGACACATGAAAAGATTTTTAAAACACAAAATCGGGACGTCAATGTATCGTAATTTGCATAATAAAAAAAGAGAATTAACTGCAGGAATATGAGATTCTCAAATATACATTTTTTTATTTCCAAGATTATATATTTTATTTTAAAATTAGTTTATTGGGGAATATTGAGACATGCCGCTTAAATATGAAATATCCCAAAATCTTAAGAATGCACGCAAAAATTAATCCGAATATTTTTGCTAATATTTGAAAAATGTAGTGCTGTCGGAATAAGGAACGGATATACATTATATATCTTATTCGCGTGTTTACATTGACGTGTGAACCGACCAGATACGAGTGAAAAAATGTTGGCCGCAGTCTTGAACGCGAGTTGACACTTTATGGATTGTTTGTTTACTGTCGTGCGAGGTCGTCAGCAAACGATGATAGTCGAGGCACATCGATCACGCATTTGCTACGTAGAAATACATATGTACGTGTGTTTGACGGTGATTATCAATTTACGTTATCTGCTTGCATTTATATCGTTGTTACAACTGATTCGATAATTTAATAGGATGTATACGAGGGAAAAACAGAGATGAGGAATTAAAATGCATTTAGGCGTTACTTAAAAACAATATTGAACAACACGCACACACACAAGAGAATTTTGATTTGTATACATATATAATTTATTTTAAAATTTTGAAATTTAAATTTCTTTTAAAGAAACGTGAACAGTGCAATGTTTTAATAATGTTTTAAGTACCATCTAAATTGTTTGAAGTGAAATCTCACTCCACAGAGTAAAAATTGATGGAAAAAGGTTTAATTTTTAATCTTTAGAAGTGAGATTTCACTCTAAATGTTTTAGAGAGTACATTATCGAATAATTTTGCAAATATTTAACATGAATCCCTTAACTTTTTATTTTCATTGGTTCTGTTACTTAATCACGACTGAACACATCTTTGGTAAGTTTCTTTAGCTAGCTAAATGGATATACAAATATGAAAATCCGCCACCTGGTGCTCGTTAGCTTTCTACTCGATAAACATGAAGTCGAGCGTTAATTGTCCGAGCTATTTGTGAATCGATTTATGCGACACAAAATCGTGCGGTCCTCTCTCGCTGTTTTATCGTCGTCGACTTTCACGACGCGGCACAGATATACGTTACTAACTTCCCGGCTGCCACCCTTTACCTCCTAACCTTGCTCGCGATCAAAGCCTCGAATGTTGAATACCCATCGCACCGTAAAATCACCGGCTTTCACCGAGCGTAATACGACGACGTACCGCGAATCGCCGAACGTGGCTGTAATTCGTGCAAATTGCGCGGCGATCAATCCGCGCCTTCTCGATAAACGCGAAATCGCGTTACGTTGCCCGACTCGCACATATTCACAATTCACATACATAATACACAACGCACACCGTGTGATTAGGCTATCAAAGCCGTAGAAGTGAAACGCGGACCGTTGTATTAATCCATTAGATCTCGGAAATTTTATCCAAATATTCATAAAAGCGAAATAATCTGTCTAATAATTTGTTCGGTGGTAATTTGTTCCAGCAATTTACTCGAAAACCAATCTCAGTCGCGTGTTAAATGAGGTCACTGAAAAGCTAATTTTCTTCTATTAACCAAGTAAAAAGATAAGGCAAAGTAGACACAGTTTCGTGACCTAAAGTTTAAGTGTGCTACATTATTGTATATTTCGTCTTTCGAAAGGTCTATCAAAATGAATTTATAATCAAAACCAGTAACAAGTAGGAATCAAATTGGTTCTTTCATAAGTCGGCGTTTTTTTTTCTATAATTTATTACAAAGAGTTAATTTTAAAAGTTCGAGCGTATATCGATGCTACACCCATCGCTTCTGTCTACTTAAAAATTATCCGTTCTATTTTTTTGTCATCCGGCGCAATGGCCAAGTGCCATTCATGACATGCATAAACTTAGCGGTCTCTCTGGGATTATTAAGTGTCGTCGTCGTCGGCCGAGAGCGATGCAATTCGTAATTCGACGAAATTGCGTGGTTCTTTAATGACCTCAGTATTTGAACGACGACCCACCAAGAAGCGCTTTGTACCTTTCCCTGCACATTCACTGCACACGCACACACACACACACACACACACACGCACACACGCACATACCCACGCTATCGAAAGGAGCATTAAGGTCGTCACTAAAAGCGGACGTTGCCGAATGTTCGTAATTCGAGCGGCTCTTAACGACGACATTGCCCTACCCTGGGCAATGTTACGAATCTCCATCACCACTTTAGTTTAGTCCAGTCCAGTCGCCTCTTCCTCGTTACGTCCACCTTCCCCGCCTCTCCCGCCTTCGCGACTCCCTTTTTCTACCTGTGGAAAGGTACACGTGAGGCGCCATTAATTTCGCGATGGAATCAAAAAGGAACAGGATGCAGGATGAAATACGTTAGCAACGTCGTCAAGACGATCCTCGGCCTCGGCCCTTGTGGCGGATTTTATATGATGCCCGATAGCGAGGCAAGTGAACGTGTTATTTGTAGGCTATTTACCAAATTTATACGTACAAAATTAGTTTGATGGCGATGTTTAGTTTACTGAGTAAATTTATTTTGAGACGTATACGACTTGTACCGAGTACTTGTATCTTTATGTGAACACTTGTATTTATCGTATCGTA